AGTCATGCTAATATTTTAAAGAAGGATCTATTTTGTAGCTGCTGATAGGTACTAGCCATCAGTGCCAGCTCAGTGACTTTCACTATGATCAGAAGACTGCAGAAAAAGAGCTTGGAAGAGGGCAGGGATGAGAACTACTTATTTAGGAGTCCAGCGAAATCTAGGAGCGCCATGTAATGCAAGGTCTTTGTACTTAAGGGAAAAAGACAACTTCCTTTTATAGCAAATGTTCTCTCCAGACAACAGGTTACTAAATGAAACTGGATGCAGAACAGATTTCAGAAAAATTCTACTGCAAAAGACTGTTCAAGAGCTGTTGCAGATGTGAGTGGGAGGCGGCAAGATCAAACAAGACAAAATAAGGAAAGCCGAGCCAAGAGTCTATATGCTACCAGAGATTTGCCAAAAGCTCTGTTCAAAATCTGTGAAATAAAAGGCCATGCTGTAGTCTCTAACCATTTATTTCAAGTTTAAAGAAACAAACGAAGCACTTAACTGCCATGTTTTTAATGTATGTTCATTAGAAGTGCTTTATAGTACTCTAACTTTGAGAACACTGACCACACAGTATCTTCAGAGAGCTTTAAAACTTGTATTAGCCATATCCTTCTCATGCTGCCAGCATATATAGTACTTTCAGTTAATGACTCTTGAATAGAGGTAACAACTTAGCAAATTATTTGACTTACTTGAAAAATAATGGATTGCATAACATATTTAAAATCCTTCTATTATTCTTGTGAACATGTTTTATTCCAGTTCTAACATGATGAATACTTGTTTTTCTTCCAGCACCTAGCTATCAAACTGATTAATTTTATAATCTTGATTTTGCTTGATAAGGTACATTTCTCTTTAGCCAATTAGCAAATCAAAGCCCAAAAAATCCTATAGCCTCACAAAGCAAAGTGTTCAGACATACCACCTCCTAGAAAATATGCACATAAATTAATATAAGAGAATATTTATATAGTTAATGAATCGTTAGTGATGGTACAAATACAGTATATGGCATATAAATAGTTAATGATGGTATAAACAACTTTATTTGCAGAATTTAAAACTTTTATTTTATGATAGCTTGGTAAGGATTTAAAAATGAAAGAGTTTGTTTTACAAAATGAAGAACATTTATCTATGATTCTTGCTTTAAGATACTGAACAGGATAACATGGGTAGAAAAAAATGCCATACTCTAACTTTACAGTGAAAGGATAAAAAAGGAAAACAAGTAATATCTTAGCTTGCAAACTCAGCAAAAGTTGGGAAGTGTTGGAGAGAAGGGAGATAACCTAAGGGAAATCATGTTAGCCTATGATGAAGAAAAATCAAAATTTATGAAAAGTAGGCCTTTCATATGTTTTGATTTTCCTTATGGTCTTTAGGTTTATTATCCTGTAACTTTCCTTTTTATTTTGTTATAAAGTTGAAAAACAAAAAAAAATACCACCCCTCCCCCCCCCAAAAAAAAAGAGTGACAGAAAGGCAGCACTACTCTGGTTTCACGACACAGCCAGCAGTGGTCACTGGGATATCAGCCACGTCCTCTTTAATTCAAAAACATTTTCTTTCCTGAGGAATGTATGCATAATACTGTAGGATCTATGACGCAGTGCTGCATTACTTAGGCATACTTCTGAAAATTTTCAATATGAAAAAAAAATCCAATGCCTTATGCACACTTTTTCCACTCTTTGGCTAGCAACTAGAGATATTAATGCAAATTGTTATTCTGATGGAAAACTAGACTGATGTTCACTCTCTTCAAATTATTAGAACACTGCTTAAGGAGAAGGTTATTCTGGAAAATCATAAAACAAGGACTTGGATTAGAAAAGAATTTTCAGATTAATTAATTTAAAAAACTAGCACTGTTGCCTAAGAGATGAGTCATTTCAATAAAATTCATGGAAAAGGAAATAAAGCACTGACAACTTTTTGAAATCACAAAATGAAATTACAACAGAAGCCATGTGGGAATGGCTTCATCCAACTTCTGTACTTTTTCACAAATCCATTTGTGTTCTCCTGAACATTTTGTTAAATTAAAAGAGGACACACTTCTTTCTGATATGGTATACAAGTACTCTGAAGCTGTTCTTATTTAGTCCTCAAAATGAAAGCTGTTTATGATCATATATAAATATGTGAAGTCATTTATTAAAATTCTTGATTGGGTAAGATCATGTATGATGTAATATTTAGGATCAATTATTGAAACACAATAGGACAACCTGCAGCTCACTAATACATGGAAGTTGCCAGAATAAGCAAGATGAATTTTAGTTTGTACTGATCTATGAATGTTTATTTCGTGTTCATTTTGACACATTCAGCACAAACATTTGAGGATACAATGACAGTTTGGTTTAGTACGCAATAGATTGTATCTATTCTGTCTATATTATTCTACACAATTTCAATTAATTCCGACAAATCTTAGGCATCTAGCTTAGGCTAAGGCTCTCTCTTATCTATCATCAACTGGTAGACACAGAAACATGGTAGGAAACAGCTAGATCAAGAGTTAATTAAGTTCAACTGAGTCAGCTATACTTGGTAATTCCAAGAGGTTCAACGTACTTTGTACTCAGTACCACATGGACACATCATTACACCACCGACTGTGAAGGGAAAAGAAGTATTTTCAAGTTAGGGCTAACACAGTTTCAGAGTGGAATGCCACTTGTTGTCTGGAATAGCTTTCTAATTGGGACAAAAGGCATTCCTCCTTTAAGCTGCTAACCTAGACCAAACCCTTACAAATTTTAAAATATGGTTTGGATGGCTTTAAGACAAGCACACTCCACAAGCCAAAACAGTGCTAAAACATGACCTACAAGACTCGAGACCTCTTCAGGGCCAAGAAACAAAGTTTGGGAAATTCACTGAAGAGCAAAGCTAGTTTTATGAACTTACATTGTGAAACTCTGTGAAATAATATTTTTTCATCAAATGACACTGAATCAGTTTTTAGTCTGAAAATCTTTTAATACTTTAACAACTTCCTAATTCAAGCCATTTGATTATTTTTATAGTCTATAGATTACCAAATATTTGAAGAACATCCCATAAAATAAGGGCAAAAGGACAGGTTCATTACAATTTTATTTCTCTTTTAATATAACCACATTAAGAACAATAAATGTAGATATTGCCACAAATAAACGCCATCATTTTGGTTCCACTTACCACTGGCTGGCTGCAAAGGTAACGACAAAGTTCTCCAATGTACTGGATGACAGTCACATTGTACTTTTTGCAGTCACTCCAAAACTGACTAGCCGAGAACTTCTTTTTTAACACACAGGTTGCACCTTTACGGAAAGAGAAGAAAAGGAAATTAAGCATTTTCTGTACGTGGCAACTTAACTAGCTATATTCACTGTTTCTACAAAATATAACATAAGAGGAACTTTGAGCAGCCTTTTTCAGAAAACTATATGGTATTTAAGCTGTTTCATCAGAAGACTTTATGTTCAAACTTGGTCAACAAAGAAGGGAGATGAACCCTTGGTTAGACAGTAAACTGATACTTAAGAGGTCAAAAGTAAGATAACAGTTTCTCTTTGTTGGTATTGTAACATTATTCAGAAGAGTTTAATTGAAAATAACCAGAAAAGTCAGCCTGAATTGGCAAATCATTTGGGTACCACTAAAACCTCATTTTTCAACAAAGAAAGTATTCATCAATGCAGAATCAGAGAGAATGCATCCATAATCCAGTGATCCTTCCCTTGCTCTGACTTGGTGCTTCAGGAAGCAGGAAATATTTACCATCAAATTCCAAATAGGTATTTTATAAGAGAGTCTTTGAGGACACTTACATTGCCTTAGTAAAATATGTATTTTATTGTCTGTGCAAAAAAAGTTATAGATCATTTAATGATATATGACAAAACTGAATGTATAACATAAATGTATTTGCCAGTCTTTTTAAACTCATCAAAATACATTTTAGTTCTATTCCACCATACAATGCTATACACATACTAAAGCAATACACAAGCTGCCAAAATATTACATATGTCCTTAAATTCATTTTTACCTAAATATAAAAGAAAATAAAAACATTTGTCACACAAATGACTACAATTCTACTCCAGTACCACAGAGAAAGCTTCTAAGAGATGCCCTACTATCAGAACATTCCCCATTCCCAAAACACAGAAATATAAAGCTATTCCAAGAACACTATTCGATTCTAGGAAAGCATTAATTTCCCCAATATCAGTGAACCTAACTGTGTTTAACACATTTTTGCAATAATTAATTCTCTATTAACAATAAAATTAAATGAAGTGAGTCCTACCCAATTCAATGCATCCACCAATGCCAAGAAGAGATGCTGCACTGTGATAAAGAGGCAGAGTAATATAAATGATATCTTCTGCAGTGGCACCAAAAGCCCACAGTCCAGCAGCTCCTTTAAGAATCTGCGTGTGACTGATGACTGCAGCTTTTGGAAGACCTGTAATGAAAACACAAATACATGAATCAAGCTTCTTTAAAATGAACTAGGCTCAATTTTTTTCCTGTGTAAGGTCTCTAAAACCATAAAACCATCAATTCTTTCTTCTGTAACTACATTTTCAGTCATCCATTTAGCTGTTTCTTAATAGACAACTGACTGCTTAATACAGTATTGCATGTTTGTTCTGTACACATAAAGATACATAAGTCATTTTGTAACCTCATATGTTAGTTATTTAATCTGATGTCAAGTCAATTCAAAGAGCTGGAAACATGAAGAAACTCCATGGTTAGCATGCTATCAAGTTATACAGAGCCAACACAGGGCCAAGAGCATTTACTCCACATAAGGACTTCCTTTAACATAATGAGGCATCACGCTAGTTCTCTTTCACACAAGAATCATAATGACTGTAATGTAATTAAAAGAGGTATGGAATCTACATGAACTAGATCATGTAGCGGATGCTTATCTGAGGTGTGCATATCTACATATTTGTTTTAGAACACTATATAGAACAAAAAAAAACCACAACAAAACAGCAAAAAGTCCACTCCAGGTAAGTTCTTCTTAGTGAGTTTCTTCAGGCTCAGTAAACAATTTTTGTTCCGCAGGACACAGACTCACAGGCAGAGCTTCTTGGGCTACTACTCTGGCACCTATTATTTTGAGGAGGAGACATGTTCTTGCTTCAGGTATGTTCTCATATACACACACACATATTACAGGCAGAGTCCTGAAGATGAACACTGAGAACTGCTAAAAACTTTTTTAAAATTAATTGTTCAGACAGCTTTTTGACCTCTTCTAGCAAAGCTACCATTCATCCGAAGACTTAACTAGAGCTGTTAACTGTGTCATCTGTGGAGATTCTAGCTACACTTCAAAGTTATTCCAAAACCCCATCATGCTAAAGAGAAAAGGTAATAATCCTACATTGCCAATAGAATCACTTATATCAAGAATCATAGAATTATCGACTGTGTTGGGCTGGAACGGATCTTTAAAGGTCATCTAGTCTAACCCCCCTGCAATGAGCAGGGACATCCTTAACTCGATCAGGCTACTCAGAGCTCCATCAAGTCCAACCTTGAATGTCTCCAGGGATGGAGACGCCACCATCTCTCTGGGTAACCTGTTCCAGTGCTTTGCCACCCTCACAGAAAAGAACTTCTTCCGAATGTCTAATCTAAATTTACCCTGTTCTAGCTTAAAATCATTTCCCCTCATTCTGTCACTACATCCCCTTGTAAGCAGTCACTCCCCAGCTTTCCTGTAGGCCACCCTTCAGGTACTGGAAGGCCGCTGTAAGGTCTCCCCAGAGCCTTCTCTACTTCACAAAGTACTCTACTGAGACTTGAGGTTCTTCCATCTGCCTTTAGAGACAGCTGACTACAGACTGTGCAAGATTCTTTTCTTCTATTAACTAAGTTTACCTGTGATTGGTTTTAGGAGGAACACTATGCTTCTGCTTTATCAAAAAGTGTGAAAATGCTCAGTTACTTTAGATACAATTATTTTATACTCTTCACATTAAACAAGCCTTACTTTTTAGTTACATGGCACGTAAAACAAATCCAGTGTAAATTAATGTAGAACATAAAACATTAAAAAAAACTTTAAATTCCACATAAGTAAAATTTGAGACGTCACAGAGGTATTCTGAATGCAGTTATAAGTACAAAACTCTCCTATCTGGAGAATACTATAATATTGCTTCAGCTAACACTCATTATTAACTAGCAAGCTCAACCATATTTATATTAGTAGTAATACAAACATACTTGGCCTCTTGATAGTATTTATACCTTCCCAATTTTTTTATTCTAGACTAAGATTTTAACCAACAAATAATTATTTGTATAGGGAAGAAAGCCATAAAACACATCTTCCTATTAAATCTTCTTGTGACTAACACTGTTGTGTTGAGCTGGATGAGAATGCCAATCTGCTTATCTTAACAGCACCATGCTGCTTTTCATGCCAGTGACCAGTTTTTCTAAAGTCTTAGCTTCTTAGCTGCTGGAGCACTGGTAATAAATTAAGCCATCTGTTTCTAAACTAAAAGGCTACTGACTTAATCCTATTTTCTGCCTCTACAGTGACCTGCATAGAATATGACTTAATGAAGAAAAACTAATTGCCTGTTGGCTTGTTTGAAGATTGTTTTTTTTTAAAGTTCTAGATACAATGTTAGCTTTATTACCTACGCAGTATGTGATCACAAAAAAAATTATTTACTATAATTGTAAACCTTTTATAAACATCTTATCTGTGAAGAAGTAAGAGGTAAAGCTTCTCATAGTATTTGTACAACATGGCAAGAAAAAAAATAAAGAAAAAGGTCATAAATCACTAAATATAAAGAGTCAACTGACAAGAAATGGGCTTATTTTCTACCATAATGCTTCTAGATAAGAAATATGATATTCTACATTAAAAAGACAATCAAAAATACTAGAGTTTTGGAAAAATCAAGTTTCTAGATGAGAGCTGAAGGAAAATATAGACTCTTTAGGAGACCTGTACCTGTTGTTCCTGAAGTAAATATGTATAAAACAGATGACTTGAGGCTGTTAGCAGATCGTCGATTAACTGGAATGGGGTCTTCCGATGCAGCCTCTATTTTGTCTAAAAGCGTATGCACACTTGGAAAGGGGGAGTCTTTCGTCATTATCCAAACACTAACGTCTTTTTGAAGGTTAGGAAGAATTTCTTCCAGTGTCCCAAGCAAATCTTAAAAATTAACACAAAATAATGTTACTTACATTATGTCTTCACAAGAGTAGCAAATATATTATTTTTCCTCTGAAAATTTTACTTTTTATTATAGAAATAGGAATGCAAGTTACCTCCATGGAAATAAATAAATTCAATAAAATAACGATGAACAAGAATAAAAATTCATGAAAATCAGGATATAATATGGTAAAAGCACTGTCCAGCCTACAAGGTCTAAACGTCAGCTATCCCTCAAAGCAAAATGGTGAGCCTTGATAATCAGCTCCTGCCTCCCACCTCATTTTCAGAAACCCTGCTCAGACCAGAATGAAGTGTAGATGAGATTCAATTTCAAATAAATAATGAAGCAATCTGTTGAAGATGCAAGGCAAATGTAAACATAGCTGGTAATTACAGTGTAGGTTTCCCTGGATGCCCTCAACAGCAATCTCTCATTGACCAGCATTATTTTTTTCAAAAGCACAGAAGTGACTAATTTAAAAGAAATATACCAACAAAAACCTGTATCATTTATGTAGATAGCTGAATTTCACACAATAGAAATAAAATACAGGGATACAGGCCTGTGGGTTATTCAGACACTGCCAAAGAACCACGTGTCTATTTATATAGTGGTCTGAGTGTTTTAGACATCTTAATGAATATAATTTTAGGTACATCAGGCAATTCTGTTTTCTTACAATCACATGTTATTCACTGAAAGCCATTCCTTCTATTGGGTTTTACCTGATAATAAACTCACTTTTTAAAAAAATCAAAAAAAATCAAAACCAACAAAACAAAGAAAAAACTAAACAAACCACAGCATAACTAAGATCTATTTTTCTTGGCTTATCAGGAAAGAAACCATGAGAGACAGTCCCAGATGAAACAAAAATCAAAAATATAAATCAAACCATGAGAGACAGTCCCAGATGAAACAAAAATCAAAAATATAAATCAATCCATAAGTAATACATTTACTATTTATGTTTATATGTCTAAGCACTTTTACAATCTTGACACTTTCTCAGAACACTGAACAGGCATTGAAGTACTAATCCAGGAAAACTCTCAAAAGCAGGAACAATATTGCTTCCAGTAGAACTATTCATATACTTAAAGACTCATTCACACTTAAGTGCTTTGCTGGATCTCAGCCTACATAATTAATCTTGCCAATATCCCTGAGGGTATAAATTTATATTATTATCTCAGTTTTTAGAGATGAATAAACAAACAAAGTTGACATGACTCACCCAGAAGCTTGTCATAAGACATTTCTAGAGCCAGCATTTGAAATCCTGATGTCAACTCCAAGTGCATTTTGTAAATATTAAATACAGACACCATTAATAGAACCGCTTGCATAAATTTTACACTAAAGTTACTGAAGTTCTTCAATCTTTCAGAAAACTACTTTCCTAATTACAGACTGCTCTCTATATTTTAACAAATGCCATACTCATCTCTATTACTGTAATAGAAATACAGCTACAGAACTACACATGTCTTACAAATTTAAAGCCTGCAGAGTACATGTTCTATATATTTTATGAATGTTTATCAAATAGATCTGATAGAGTGTGACATTAATTTTTTTGTGTTCCAACTTTCTTGCATTGCAGAATGATTTCAGGAAGGAATCACCCAAAAAATTACGAAAATCTATGACAGATAGCCTCATTTTCAAATCATTGGAGTACAGTCTCTTTCCACTGTACATAGCGGTAGAAAAAAAAAATGTGAATAAAACATAATGTTAAGGACAATAGTTAAGGTTCATTGGCGTACTAATTCTGTTTTTCTGCCCTACTATAAAATTAGGGTATTATTTTTCAAGTAGTAAATATGCAAATACAACAGTATTATTTCTAATGAAAAACAGCAATTAATAAACCAAGTGTGACAGAAAAAACAATATACTTACTATATTCTAATACTGATTTTTGTCTTCCTATTATGCATAGATACATATATGTCTCCTGCATATACTAATGACAGTTTGTCTACAAGTTAGGTTGAGAACCTAGCAAAAGAAACAAAGGTGTTAGAAGTGACTAGAACTCTATTTCTATTCTTATAAGTACTAAAAGAATACAGCATTCTCAGTCATTCTTTATTCGTGCACTGGCTCAACTACAGTGCCAGCAAAGATCTTAAGGACCGTTAATTGTTCAGGATTGCTACGAATTTCTTGGCTCCTCCACGTTCCAGTAAGCACTTGAAGCAGACTCAGCTGTCCATCTTTACCAGACAAATGTGACACACAAGTACTGAGAAAAACTGCTCAACAAAAGTCATCACGCAAAATTATCCTGGCAAAAAATTCTCAATGCGTAACATCCTTTTTAAGTACTGCAGATACCAGAGAGCTCATTGCAGCATTTCCTTATTTTCCATATATAAATTTGCTCCTTCCTATATTTCCTTAAATTGTTTTGCTTTTTACATTTTTGGAAGTGATGAAGATGAAGCTGTATTATATACCAACTCTTAACTTCTCTACAGAAGACATTTTTGTTTAGGACTGCACAACATGAAGAAACATTTTTTTTGTTTTTTTTTTAGTATTCAAAAGTTCTAGACAAGATGTGCACCAGGGTCTTTGTGTATTTGAGTAACATGAACTGCAAATCTGTCAAAATGAAGAGGATCTACCTCTTCTTTCTCTTTGTCTCCTCTTTTCCTTCCTATTAGTTTCCATTCTACAGACACAATTTTTTAAGAATGATGAGGGCATAGCTCCCTTTTAGTAGACTGAAACATATATATTCTAAATAATTAAGATCAATCTTCATATTAAATATACACACTGTTTACTGTTTCTCTGATCCTTCACTAATAAAACCTACATTTTTTGTTGTTGCACAGAGGCTCGCTTGGTTTTTTAACTAGTATTGGACTATGAATTGATTGTTCAATAGGTGGGTGTTTTTCCCTGTGGTCAAGAACCTAGTACGCAGAACAATATGGGAACAGCTTTCAATTATACATTATCTCAAAAGAAACAATATGTGATTTCCTGAATAAGAAAGGGTGATTTAAAACAGCTGTATTTAAAGTGCAAGAAACTGTAAATTACTTCTGGAACACACAGGCGCATGGGGTGTTTGAAGACAACTCTCAGTTGTGCTAACTTATTTCCAGGGAATAAATCTGATGATAGTCAACTGATATTTTGTTCCACGAACTAGGAACTTCTGTGCCAGATGTTATGTAGGGCTCCTCAGTCTTTACACAGAATCTTATACATGTGTCAGGAGAAAACAGTCCTCTTGGAGGAACTGTAGTTTGATTATTTCTCGAGGTACCGGGCATGTGTACTTTACCATATAGGAAAGCAACTACAGGAAAGTAATTTAATTATCTACGCTTGTGGTTTCTCTCAAGTACTTGTTTGCTTTTTACACTATGAAGGTATATTGAGGTTTTGGGTTATTTGTCTTGGAAAAAATGTCTGCTTATCTAAAGTATGACAATGTAGCAGCTCTGTGTGCATTGTTTACATAGTTTGTATATGAATATTCACTACTTGGTACCTATTTGGCTTCTGCTGAGAAAACAAAGTATCTGTAATTGGTCAAGACGAATATGCTTTCCCACTTTTTTTGCCCATTTCCCCTCTTGCTCTTAAAGTATTTAAATATTCAACACTTTGTGAAACTGTTGCATTAAATTCACATGAATACATAGTTCAATTACTTTAAGTAAGCAAGGAAAACATGTTTTGAACTACTGTCCTAGGCTTGAGGTTGCACAGGAGTTTGAATTTTTTATGTTATTTTCTAGCAAAGAAACAATGCAGTCTGTTGGCAAGGACCCAGTCCCACACTGATGAAAGGAATACATCAGATTATGAGATCAACTTGTACTGAACAGAAAGTTACTCCGAAGGAAAACTGTATGAAATGGTTCTTACATAACTTTGATGTGCAGCCTGGCTGAAATGCTCAGTTAAGCTAGGGCAAATTCAAACTCTTCCCCACACTGTCTGGCCAGAGAAAATAATGGTTACTTGTACTTGACCCCCTCAAGTGACTCCTTACACTCAGCACTTACTCTAACTAAGCAATAACAACAGACGTTACAAGTCAGTTGCAGCTCAGGATCAGCACTGGTATATTGAAACACCACTGAAGGGGGGTAAAGGTAGCAAAACAGAAACTGGCTTGGGTATCACAGCCAGCACCGTTTTTCTCTCAAGGGCCATATGGTACAGAGACACAGACTAAGTAAACACAGGTGGTCAAAGATATATTGTCTTTAACAGAGTAGATAAGAGCATCTTCTGCAGGTCTTCTACAGTTTCCTTGTCCTAAATGCTTAGGTGTAAACAGCTTTATATTCCAAAAAGCTAAGAAAATATGGTTTTGATAAATCCATGTTTTTGACTCAGTGACCAACATATGAGCAATGATACTACTACTTGTATATAATAGCATATGACCTTAATTAAAAAAATACCCAAAAAGACTTTGCTTACTCACTTTTTCAGGGATGTAGACACACTTCTGTCTGAACTCCTGCTCCTGTCAGCGTAAACCTGGTCCTGAGCTCGGATAGTGAGAAGTTCATAATACACTCAGAAGCAGCACAAAGCACTGCTGGTACCTCAAGAGTAAAGAATCCTAAACAGGAAAATGCTATATTTCTACATTTGGGAGATGTAATTCCATACAGAATAGCACAATCACAGAATGGCTGTGGCTGGAAGGGACCTCTGGAGATCATCTTGGTCATAGAACCATAAAATCATAGAAACATTCAGGTTGGAAAAGACCCTTGGGATCATCAACTCCAACACCTCTGCTCAAGCAGGCCCACATAGAGCAGGCTGCCCACACGTGTCCATGCAGTATGTGCCCTCCCAGAATAGCCTTTGCTATCAGGACTGATGTAAACTAATCTCATGGAGTTTAGTAGTGCAACCCTTTCACAGCTGAATCCTTGCATCAGAAGCCATGATGGCAATCTGGGATATCCTACTACGAGCTGAACTCTTCTGAGTAGCAACACGGTAGAAATGCACTGGCAAATTTCATTTGTACCTTTCTGGTGAGTTACTACATTCAAAGTGCTGCCTAACAGTATTGCTGTTATGGAGGTACCATGAATGAAATGTAATCCCTTGTTCAATCAAGAATCCCAACAAATGAAAATATTCCCTAGAAAGAATACAGTGCCTTAAAATATGCTTTCATTTTAAGCAGTACCTCACTCCTCTGTTTAACTAGTAGTTTTTGAACGAATAAGGGTGGCGTCATCTGGTAACAAATGGAGCTGGGACAAATACCTTTCAAACAAGTCAGATTGCTGTTAGAGTAAGCTCATGCTGGCAGTCTGATAGAGAGAAGGGCTCACAGGTTCCTTTACTCTCCTTTACAAGTGCCTCATTTCCTTTCATGTTAGTTAACTGCTATTTTATCAAAAAAGTGCATTTTTTAACTTCAACTTTTTCATTCTCTTTCAGCAAACCTTTCCCAGCATGGGAGTGGTAGTAGACAGTGTCTCTGGAAGTGTGCGAATGTTACATAACAAATCAGAACAAGAGCTAAATACTCTTGGAACACAGGAGACATATGAAAGTAGCTCGGGCAAAAACTGTCTCTCTGCCACAAAGGCAAGTAGAAGTACTGGAAAGGAACACAAAGTCTAAATACTGACAAATCAGAGAATCTATATTTGTCTTACAGCTTGCAGTTGGATGAGAAGGAAAAAAACCAAGTTACTGGATTGTGCTAAACAAATTAAAAGAACATTGCTGTCATGAAAAAATTCAAAATTTAAGAGGTAGTAATTTATGAAACCAACAAGAGGGAAAAATTGTTAAGTTTATGTAACATATCTGATGTTTAAGAATAAAACATTCAATTACAGTGAGTTTTTTAGAATATGTAAGTCAAAATCAAATGCCAAAAAACTTGAGTACTATTGGAAGATTCCCATTTAAAGTTACAAAAATCAGTCAAAATAGCAGAGAATGTCAGATCAGAAAAAAAGTCTGACTGCAAGTGCTGAAAGAAAGACAAGAAGATACTAACTGGACTGGGTTACAAAACCACAACCTCAGGAAAATATGGAGGCACAATCCAAAACTGGAGTACAAGTTCTACAAATGACAGTGATCCTGCAAGAGGCAGCATGAAAGACTGAACAAGGCGTGGAAGAAAATGAAGCCTTAAATAGAACTCAGTCTATCTGAAGTATCTCATCTGTATAAAATAAAAGCATTTTGGAAAAGTTACAAGATCTACCAATAGAAGCTGTAAGATGCAATCATCTCACACAGAGGAAGGCTACACCACCGTTCTGAGCAGGGAAGATTTATCAATAAAAAATTATCTGTAGAAACTGTTCCAGATATCTGCAGAAGGTGGAAGGTTCCCCTCAGAAAACTGAAACAATGTTAAGTGGATTTGAGCGTAAGTTCCTGATTTAATGTGCCATTACAGGCAAGAATTTCAAGAGCGAATTTGTTCTTGCTAAGCTCAGACAGTTTATGACATTGTTAAGGGGATAATTTCTGCTGTGCTCAAGTGTATGAATACGATTGAAGATCATCCAACATACTGAAAAGATAGCTTTGTAACTGTTACAAGAAATATAATTGCTATGTCAAGTCTAAATTTACTTGTGAAGTATGATAAACTTATGTATTTTTTAAAATTAGGATTTCCACTACCCAGAAATAATACCATTACATACTAATCTCAGTTTTAAAAAAACAGTCATAGTTGCCAAACATGATGCCTGGCTATGACAATGATAGCTATTGGAACACAGGTTGATTGCTTTTAGTGTAAATACATTGAAAAAAAATATGCTCTGTCCAAGCTATGCATAAGCTTGTGGAAAATGGTGCCACAAGAATAAAAAATGCACAAGCAAGTTCAAGTCAAGCCTACTGATAAGGAAGAATCCCTTGCAGAACATGCAAATACTGGATGAAAAAATGTTTAACAGATCTCTGAGAATTACCTGCTTGTGTAAACTCAATGTTAAATACTGCCCTGCAATTTTTATAAACATTAGACAGAAATTATGTACAATAATTTCATATAACATGCTTTTGTTTCAAGAGTAGTATGAATTAGTTCGCACAATCACTGAACGGTATATGAACCTTCAGTTGAGAAACCTGGACTTCTTTGGAGAGACTCCTTCTCCATATGATGTGGCCAATAAACAAGGTCATAACAGAACTTAATTTCTTTCACAGATAAAGATAAAAAAGCGCCTCAAATTCCTTATGTAGAATACTGTGAAGCCTCTCAGGCTCAAGGGTCTGACAAACTTAATGCAGAGACTAAACCTCATGAAGAAACTAAGATCAGAACATAAAAGATGAGCTCAGAGACTATTTTGTTAGTATCTCTGCTGTATCATCTGTCTGCACATAGTTCTTCTTGTATGAGCAGACTCCTAGAACAAGTTAGTTCAACAATGTTAGTGTTACTATCAGCTGCTACTAAGAAGAGCAGAAAACACAGACCCCATAAATGCAAATGTTTTTTTCAATCATTAGTTAACCTCTCATTTTAATACAGACCACTCTTAGATACAAGTTTTGATCCAAAGTTCTCCTTCAGTACAGTCAATGAGCAAGAATTAATTCCATTCCTCATTCCACACGCTCAAAAGCACATATTCATGAAAATTAAGTGAGTTGTTTTTTTTATTAAGTAGGAAGAGTAAAAATAGTGAGTTTAGAAGCATTGTTATCATGTGTTTTGGGGTTATATTTAAATTGGCTTTGTTTCACTAGCTTGTTTTAATTATTAAGTATTCTTAGAAAATTTATAATTGAAAAATACACAAGGGAAAATTCTTAGATACATTTTGAAAGCACAAATTTGCAGCAGCGGATAACAGATGGAAGGAAATTTCATCAGTAAAAATAGTGAGTTTAGAAGCATTGTTATCATGTGTTTTGGGGTTATATTTAAATTGGCTTTGTTTCACTAGCTTGTTTTAATTATTAAGTATTCTTAGAAAATTTATAATTGAAAAATACACAAGGGAAAATTCTTAGATACATTTTGAAAGCACAAATTTGCAGCAGCGGATAACAGATGGAAGGAAATTTCATCATTTAGGTGTCATGGATGCAAAAGCCCGCAACTTGTGCAATAAGAATAAGGCAGGAGATTGTGAAAGATAAACAAGGCATAGTAGATTTGAAATAATAATTTTAGAGTGACAGGTCAACATTAATTTTTAATATTTTGAAATATCCTCCTCCAATCAAATGTAAAGGGTCTGTGTGATCGTTTAGCACTGCAGGTTTATTTACATTTGATGATAAATGCTGAGGCAAGTTTAAGTTTTGGATCTGTTTCAGTTTCTATATCTCTGTAATCGATGTACATTTCAAATATACAATGCATAGTATGCCTGCCTCAAGATTTTAAATTCTTTTGAAACAATTAATAAAAATGTAACACTTTAGAAATTCACACAACATGTAATATTATCTCCTATTCAAACACAGCAGTTTCTTCTACAATCCAACACCAACAGAAAGCTGGCTATTATGAATCAATCTCCCATGTGCTATACCTCTAAAAAAAGCCCTCTCAGTTTTACTCCCTGGGAGAGTGTTGTACTTCTGTGACAGAGTCGTACACCAGAGGCTGTACAGTCTGAGTTCAGATCTTCTAGTCTGCAGTGGGTTTGATCACTGGAAAGATGGGGGGAGGTAGTACAGGAGTACGACTTGCATGGGATTAAAACTGACCGTTTATAAAGGGATGGGAAATTATTCTTAGTAGATCATACTAATCTTTTCTGAGACATATTAAGCAACTACTGAAGTGACTAAATGCTTATAACAGGCTGTACTTAGATGCTGCACTCTTTCTTGCAATTCACATTAAGAAAAGGTTAAAAGGACGTCCCCAAGGAATGGATAAACTCCATTCTTCCTGAGAGGCTTAAGCTTTATGATTTCCCAAAACTTGTTCTAGCCCTAGGTTTCTTCCATTCTGTGAACATCTGAAAATCAGTAAAGGAGCCAGAGGGACATAAATGGGGGAGACGTGACAGCAAAAGCTCTGGAGGTATGAATCAGGCGCATACCCTACCTGCTCCCACAACCAGTATCTTGGGCTCACAGCTACTGATGCAGTGCAGGAGAGATCTGGAGCGGACGTTGAAGTTGAGGAAAGCCACCACACATCCCAGCTTGGCCAGTCCAAACCACACGTGGATGAAGTCTGGCTCATTGCCCATCAGCAGGGCCACCGTGTCACCCTTCTTCAGAGCCTCATACCGCAGGAAGACCTGCGCTACCCTGTTACTCCTCCTGTCCGCATCCCGGTAGGTGTGCACCTTCCCTTCGTAGATGAGGAACGGCTTGCGAGGCTGCTTCTCAGCCAGCTTCACAAACTTGTCCAGGACAGTGACGATCCTCCCTCGCAGCCGGTATGTCTCCACTCTCAGCCCGTAGGCCAGCACTTTTAAGAGGTATCTCAGGTCAGCCCAGAAGTACGGGAATAGGAACCGCTGGATGAGGTGCAAGGAGACGATGCCGGCAGCAGCGCCCGGTACCCAGATGGGCAGCATTGCCGCTGGGTAAAGGTCGTCGCAGCTGCTCATGTCCCCACAGCCCGACGGCTACACACGGGAAGTCGGGACACGGAATCCGAGGAGAAAGCCGGTAAGGACAGAGGCTTTTCCCGCTCTCCTGCTTCTCCTCCTTTTCCTCCTCCTCCGGAGCGATGAGCCGCGA